AGGACACGACAGTAAAGGATAGCAACAATAACTGCGCCACATAAAGCAGTCCAAGATCCCCCTGCCAGTCCTCCCACAACACACACACACACACACACACACACACACACACACACACACACACACACACACACACACACACACACACACACACACACACACACACACGAGAAAATCCACACACAGGCATGAATTAACACCAACAACATATCCATGTACGTGAGACCAATCATCGAGTATGCAGCGCAGGCATGTAAACAAACCCCCCTCCCCCTGGAGGACGTCCTGTGGTACGTAATCCATGCTGGTACCGCAGCTGGAGTGCTGCTGGTACCAGCAGAGAGAGACTACTACCATTACAGAGCCTAGAGTCGGGCCCCCAGAGTTGAAACCCAACTTCTCCCGGCCCACACCAAACACTCCACCCGTTATACTCCCCCCCCCCCCGCCCCCGCCCCCCCCTTCCTTCCTTGTACACTACTTCGTACCGGGTTTCAGCTCTCGGTACCCGGCTCTTGGTATCGAGTCGCAACTTGTGTGTTCTTTTAAAAAAAAAAAAAATCCTTACTACTTACATTCAAAATGGCCGCCTGCCCAACCCTTCACCACCTCTGCCCTCCCCCCCAAAAAAACTTTAATTCCCCCCCTCTCTACCCCCCAAGCCCCCCTTCCCCCCCATAACCCATTCCCTACCACCCACTTTCCCCTTTTTCCAATGTGGATTAATCTGCTAATGTTGCTCCCTATGGAACTACTGACGAAGTGCAATACAGATTGATTTCTAGGGTGAAGGATGGTGGAGGATGGTGGAGGATGGTGAAGGATGGTGGAGGATGGTGGAGGATGGTGGAGGATAGTGTAGGATAGTGTAGGATGGTGGAGGATAGTGGAGGATGGTGGAGGATAGTGTTGGAATGGTGGAGGATAGCGTAGGAATGGTGGAGGATAGTGTAGGATGGTGGAGAATAGTGTACCATGGTGAAGGATAATGTAGCATGGCAGATATAGTGCAGGAGGTTGGCATTCCAGGCATGGGCTGCATACTCTAGGACTGGTCTGACGTATTCTTGAGTATAAAGTGGCGACAGTGGCACATTTGGTGGATACTCCCTAATATTTCAAGCGTGAGGTATGAGGGGTGATATATTCAGTGCGAGGTGAGGTGTGAAGTATGAGGTATGAGATATGAGGTATGAGATGTGAGGTATGAGGTGTAAGGTGAGGTGTGAAGTATGAGGTATGAGGTATGTAGTATGAGGTATGAGTTATGAGGTTATAAGGAGGCGAGACAGCCGTCGTAGTGGTATTAGTGGTGGTGTCGGAACAGAGGTGCTGGTTACTGCAGCAGTCTTTCCCTTAGGACCTGTGGTGGTAGTGGTGGTAGTTGCGGTTGTGGTAGCAGCAACAGTTAAGGTGTAGTTAGGGGGGGATAAGGGGGGAATGAGGCAGTGCAGCATACCTACACATTCAGCCGTTCAAGCGCCACCAGTACACACTATTAAAACCCCCCGATACATATTCCCTTCAACAGCAAAATTGCGTCGACGCTGCGACAAGTTGGATAAAAAAAAGGGCAGACAAAGAGTAAACAGTTTACAGAGAGATTGCATGCTGCAGACATCAAAGTCTGGGAGAACAGCGCTGGGAGCGGCGGGCGTTTGGGAACTGGAGCAGAGCAGAGCGCGCCTCCGCCACGGCCTCCACAGACCTCCCGTCACACACCTCCACAACCACACCTCCACCCCACCACACACCTGCACAACCCTCCCCCCACCACACACCACAAGGGTGCCACAATAACCACACCCGTCGAGGTGATCGAAGGAGGCTCCACACACACACACATGAGGCTCCACACACACACACACACATGAAGCTCCACACACACACACATGAGGCTCCACACACACACACACACACACACATGAGGCTCCACACACACACACACACACAAATGAGGCTCCACACACACATACATGAGGCTCCACACACACACACATGAGGCTCCACACACACACACATGAGGCTCCACACACACACACATGAGGCTCCACACACACACACATGAGGCTCCACACACACACACACACACACACACACACACACACACACACACACACACACACACACACACACACACACACACACACACACACACACACGAGCCCGTGTTCCTCCGCGAGCTGACGCCAATCACCAACATTCAAGTGATTTCGACTTCGAGTACACCGCTCTTCGCGACTTCGATGTCCCTCCACTGATCCACAAGGAAGATCGCAGGTGAACAACTAGAAGCTGGAGTCAATCATCAATCCCCTCACTCAATCCTTCGCCACGCTCTACGATTGAGAGGCAACTCAATCCTAGAGGACTACACACACGCTTCTCAACGTCCATTCTTGTTGTATGAGCAATGAATATATCTGTTTACCTTGTACATCTGTTTACCTGGTGTAAAGTGTATATTCCGGAAGATGTCACGCTGTTGACGACACGCCGAAGAAATATAATGGAAAGATTAAGTGATTTCGTGTTTCTTCACCCTCTACATGGTGGAATGTGTTTACATAAAATGGAAAATATACGTAAGAAAATTAACAATAGGTGGATAAGGGGTAAGGAAGGGACACTACCCCAGGGGTATAGAGCCTAAGGGAAGGCCTTACCCCATTGTTGTCGTGGCACTCAGGGTCGTTGATAGCATAATCAAGTGGGCAGTGATCCAGATAGTTGTTGTTGCAGGTCTGGGAGTCGTAGCAGACCGAGGGCTCGTCCGCCATGACGACTGTGCCATCAGACGTCACCAGGCACCCGTCTGAACGCACCAAAGTGCCATCAGAGGTGACGACGCTGCCATCCGGAGTGAGGATGGCACCGTCGGGAGTGACGTAGACGGGCTGGGCCCTCCGGAGGGGCACCGTCTCCGCCAGGTAGCGAGGGTACATGCTCTCGTCACACAGGTCGTCCTCGTAGAAGGGGTAGCCGCTAGCGCGAAGGTCGTCCTCCAACAGGGAGACGCTGAGGTCACCGCTTGCCGTGACCACCATGGGGAATGAGCCGTCGGCGGCGGGGGGGAACCCGTGGCGGCTGCACCTGGGCACGGGGGCCCCCAGGGGCATAGGGGCCTCACACGGGGTACACATGCCGCAAAGAGCACCCAGCATCGCGCCAAAGAGCCACCGCACGCGCTCTGTCTGCCGCAGTAAGCAGCTAGGGTGAGTTGGCTACACTGTGAGACACTGTAACCCCCGTAGTGGCTATACACTGTTCACCTAACACGTGTTTCGTTGGCTACACTGTACACTGTGACACGGCAAGGACACTGTACACAGAGGGGAAACTGTCCTGAACAATCACTATCAGTACACCATTAGACTCACAATGTCAGCACAATCTTGTACAACCGTATAAAATCTATACGACACTTTCCTCATAAGTTTAGGCATGTTTCTAAATGTTTCTGCACTGTTTTCGAAATGAAATGCATAGTTTGAAGTTAGGCTAAGTTAGGTTAAATTAGGTATGGTTTGATATTTACTAACTGCATGACTGAGCAAACAATTGGTTCCTAGAATTCAATCCTAACAAGTGTAAGGTAATGAAGATGATAAAGGGAGAAATTACCAAGAGGAAAAAAGTACAAACATTTGCAACAGGAGCAGTACCAGAGCTAAGAGGACTGAGCTATGAGGATAGGTTATTGAACTCGCTCACACACTCCTAGAGAAGAAAAAGACGAAGGGAATATGATCGCAACATGCAAGATACTGAGGGGAACAGGCAAGGTTGACAAAAAACAGCCTTTAAATATTGAAAGAAAGTAGGACGAGAAGCCATAAGTGGAAGCTAGAAACGCAAATCGAGTCTTAGAAACGCACAGCAATACTCGGACCCTGTACGGGTGGTCAGCCAGTGGGATGGACTGAAAGAAGACGTTGTAGAAGCCACCTCCATCCCCACCACTTTAAGACCAAATACGACAGACAATTCGAACTTCAAAATAGCTCAATTGTAACGCAACAGGTACAACAAGGCCAGTAGGCCGGGCACCAGGAGCTAGACCTCACTCCCCCGTAGTCACTAACAGGTAGGTGCTGCTGCGCACACGCACGCACGCGCGCACACACCTCCATACTAAAAAGCTTTTCCTAAATTTCCATAAGAATATGAACACAGGAGAATTTTCCCCTCAGGCCATTACTAAGGAGTAATTATCTCCATGTTGGTGTTGGTGTTGTGGGGGGTGGGGGTGGGAGGGGGGGGGGTTACTCGCCTAGTTGAGCTTGGAGGGTCGAGCCTCAGCTCTCAAGCCCCGCCTTTCCACCATCAGGGACACGAAACAGTGACCGCTTTCACTCATTATTATCTCCACAGTGTCTCACAGTCATATTATCTCCATGTTGGTGTTGGTGTTGTGGGGGGGGTGGGGGGGGGGGGGGTGGGAGGGGGGGGGGGGGGGTTACTCGCCTAGTTGAGCTTGGAGGGTCGAGCCTCAGCTCTCAAGCCCCGCCTTTCCACCATCAGGGACACGAAACAGTGACCGCTTTCACTCATTATTATCTCCACAGTGTCTCACAGTCATATTATCTCCATGTTGGTGTTGGTGTTGTGGGGGGGTGGGGGGGGGGGTGGGGGTGGGAGGGGGGGGGGGGGTTACTCGCCTAGTTGAGCTTGGAGGGTCGAGCCTCAGCTCTCAAGCCCCGCCTTTCCACCATCAGGGACACGAAACAGTGACCGCTTTCACTCATTAGTCCTCATAATATGTACACTTTAAACTCCCTCGTCAAGTTTGTTCCACTTATTTAAATCTGTTAAAACTACAAAAGCTTATTCTGACATCTTTGTCATGTTAAACCCCCTTAAGTTTCTACTATTCCTCATTTGGAACATCTCTCTATCTACTTGGTAAATTCCCTTTAGTATCAAGTACGTCGTTTTCATGTCTCCCCCATGTTCATTCATTCCTCCAAAGGCAGAGCGACCCAGTTCCCTATGTTAGCCTTCGTAGTTCAGTCACTGGTTGATACCCGATTGATACCTGGTTGATGGGGTTCTGGGAGTTCTTCTACTTCCCAAGCCCGGCCCGAGGCCAGGCTTGACTTGTGAGAGAAACTTCTCTTCACCCTGGCACTCTAAGACTGCCAGCAAGCACTCCAGGGGCCAGATTCACGAAAGCACTTACGAACGTATACATCTTTCCTCAATCTTTGACGGCTTTGTTTACATATATTAAACAGTTTACAAGAATGAAAACTTGCCAATCAACTGTTGTTATTGTTATAAACAGCCTCCTGGTGCTTCGGAGCTCATTAACCGTTTAATAATTGTAAACAAAGCCGCCATAGATTGAGAAAAGATGTACAGGTTCGTAAGTGCTTGCGTAAGTGCTTTCCCATGAGCTCCGCCCCCCCCCCACATATTGCTACTCGGCCCCACACTAACACTCCCACACCCTTCAAGAGCCGCACCTGGCGCCCCTCAGGGCTCCCACAGCTCCTACTAATTACCCGGCAGTTGCAACCCGGCTAACGACTCCCGCGAGGAGAAAAACAGAGCCGCGTGGGGGTGATGGAAGATGAGGGTGACACACTTCTCTAATGGGGGTGTGGCTAAGGGAGGGTGGCTAAGAGGGATGTGGCTAAGGGGGGAGGTGTGGTTAAGAGGGGGTGTGGCTAAGAGGGGTGTGGGGCTAAGAGGGGTGTGGCTAAGAGGGGGTGTGGCTAAGAGGGGTGTGGGGCTAAGAGGGGTGTGGGGCTAAGAGGGGTGTGGCTAAGAGGGGGTGTGGCTAAGAGGGGTGTGGGGCTAAGAGGGGTGTGGCTAAGGGGGGGTGTGGCTAAGAGGGAGGTGTGGCTAAGGGGAGGTGTGGCTAAGAGGGGTGTGGTTAAGAGGGGTGTGGCTAAGAGGGGTGTGGCTAAGAGGGGTGTGGCTAGGAGGGGTGTGGCTGGGGAGTGGGAATAGTCTGGTGGGTGGGAGGGAAGGGAACTTATCAGGGGGAAAGCGCCAAGCCAATACGACTTTATACCCCTGGGAAGGGGGTCAGGATAAGGATTTGGGATGGGACGGGAGGGGAAGGAATGGTGCCCAACCACTTGTGGACGGTCGGGGGGGATTGAATGCCGACCTGCATGAAGCGAGACCGTCGCTCTACCGTCCAGCCCAAGTGATTAGGCTATCTGGGTGGGTGGTTGATGCTGATAAAATGCACTCCCATCCACCATCAATTATCTACCCACAGCCCACAGCCCACCACTCATTAACAACAATCAACCACCACTCATTAACAATCAACCACCATCAACTACCCACTAACAGCCATCCACTGAGTCCAGGTGGAGGGTGTCAGGTCTCCGTATGGTCCTTCGTCTACCTGTATTACTGGACCATGAACCACGGTGGACCTTATTTGTACACGGATTTGGTCCAGGAGTACGGCCTGGCCTGGGCACGTATGAGAGGGTACGGCCGGTGTGTGAGAGGGAACGGCCGGTGTGAGAGAGGGAACGGCTGGTATGAGTGAGGAAACGGCCGGTGTGAGAGAGGGAACGGCCGGTGTGAGAGAGGGAACGGCCGGTGTGAGAGAGGGAACGGCCGGTGTGAGAGAGGGAACGGCCGGTGTGTGAGAGGGAACGGCCGGTGTGAGAGAGGGAACGGCCGGTGTGAGAGAGGGAACGGCCGGTGTGAGAGAGGGAACGGCCGGTGTGAGAGAGGGAACGGCCGGTGTGAGAGAGGGTACGGCCGGTGTGTGAGAGGGTACGGCCGGTGTGAGAGAGGGAACGGCCGGTGTGTGAGAGGGTACGGCCGGTGTGAGAGAGGGAACGGCCGGTGTGAGAGAGGGAACGGCCGGTGTGAGAGAGGGAACGGCCGGTGTGTGAGAGGGTACGGCCGGTGTGAGAGAGGGAACGGCCGGTGTGTGAGAGGGTACGGCCGGTGTGAGAGAGGGAACGGCCGGTGTGAGAGAGGGAACGGCCGGTGTGAGAGAGGGAACGGCCGGTGTGAGAGAGGGAACGGTCGGTGTGAGAGAGGGTACGGCCGGTGTGTGAGAGGGAATGGCCGGTGTGTGAGAGGGAACGGTCGGTGTTTGAGAGGGTACGGCCGGTGTGAGAGAGGGAACGGCCGGTGTAAGAGAGGGAACGGCCGGTGTGTGAGAGGGTACGGCCGGTGTGAGAGAGGGAACGGCCGGTGTGTGAGAGGGTACGGCCGGTGTGAGAGAGGGAACGGCCGGTGTGAGAGGGTACGGCCGGTGTGAGAGAGGGAACGGCCGGTGTGTGAGAGGGAACGGCCGGTGTGTGAGAGGGAACGGCCGGTGTGAGAGAGGGAACGGCCGGTGTGTGAGAGGGTACGGCCGGTGTGAGAGAGGGAACGGCCGGTGTGAGAGGGTACGGCCGGTGTGAGAGGGAACGGCCGGTGTGTGAGAGGGAACGGCCGGTGTGAGAGAGGGAACGGCCGGTGTGAGAGAGGGAACGGCCGGTGTGAGAGAGGGAACGGCCGGTGTGAGAGAGGGAACGGCCGGTGTGAGAGAGGGAACGGCCGGTGTGTGAGAGGGAACGGCCGGTGTGAGAGAGGGAACGGTCTCCAGGGACCTGCATCTTGGAGAAAAACGACCAGCACTTGTTAAATATTGCATAGATGGCGCGCGTGTGGCCAAGCCTCTACCTCATTCCCTACCTTCTCTCCCTCCCTCCCTCCCTACCTTCTTATCTCCCTCACTATCTTCTTTCTTCCTTCCTTCACTTCTTTACTCCATCCATCCCTTATTACCTCCATCTTTTAACCTCCAAACTCCTCTGTTCCCTCCATGGATCTTTCCTAACTACCCTGGCATAAAAACTACCGAGAGGATATATGTTCACGACGTAAAAGATACTGAGGAAGGGGGGACGGACCAGGTGGACAGATAGATAGGAAGAAAAGATCTATACCGCTATAGTGGCAAGCAAATGGAATGCTATGGGAGTGGAGCACTAAATCTAAGTCTGGAATGAATGTGCCAGGATCCCAAAAGGTAGGAGGCGGGACCCAAGAACTAGAATTTATTCCCCGTAGACTCGGCTCTACAAGTACTTATGATATCTACAGTCTCTTCCTGCTGTTAATGACTTAGACGACATTTAGGACGCCTAGAAATGATCTATTAGTCAGAAAATTCTAGAATACAAGATGGCGCTCGGCATAGCTGTAACGGCCACGACGCTTCATAAGTCACGTGACACAAGGCAACCAATAGGAGGCGACCCGGTAGGCCACATGTCACCGAGCCCGGCCTGCGATTGGCGAGCGAACGTCAGTCACTGCGAGAACATCATGGAGGAAGGTGCCTCGCAACGTGTCCGCGACCCCCAGAGACCGGTCCCAACCACTTGGAGTGGACGGTAGAGCGACGGTCTCGCTTCATGCAGGTCGGCGTTTAATCCCCAACCGTCCAAGTGGTTGGGCACCATTCCTTTCCCGTGTCCCATCCCAAATCCTTATCCTGACTCCTTCCCAGTGCTATATAGTCGTAATACCTTGGCGCTTTCCCCCTGATAATTCCGTTCCCCACAGACCGTCTCACCGACTTGTCCCTCCACAGACTGGATCCGACCGTATATTTGAGAAGCTTTTTTGGCCAGTCTGTCGACTTTCAATTACCAGTCAATAGCGAAGATTGACAGAGGAGACTGTACTGTCTACCTCTCGCCCCTTTCTCAAGAACTACAAGACTTCAGGTGCTGCAGTTAATACAAGTTTATCCCTGTTACTCTTGCGAGTAATTCTGATGAATTCAGAATTTGAATTCAGAAAATTCTGAACAGAATTCAAATTCTGGGGTTTGAATTCAAGGGAGCAGTGAGGAAGCCTTGGAGATATACCTTATACCTCCAAGTATTCTCATAACTAAGAGATATAAGAATACCTCAAATAAGAGTCTAGAGAGCACTGATTGGGTGTTGTAGCACTCTCTTGCCCCCTCTCCACTATAAGTACGGTTCAAAATACAATCCCCAAGAGCACTACAAGTAGTCCGTATAGACCTCAAACTCACAAAAGCCCAAGGCTAAGTAAGCTTAT